AAGATTGTCAGAATTATGGAGAGGGTTTAATAAGAATAATTAGTATTATTAAGTTAAGTACTTAATAGAGCTAGTAGCATTCAAAAAAAAAAAAAAAGTTAAGTACTTATTTATTACTATTATTATTATTATTATTGATAAGTAATTATTATTATTAAATAATTATTAGACAAAGTTTAGGATTCTCAGAATTATGGAGTACTTATTTTGTGTATTATTATTATTATTGGTAAGTATTATATAGTAGTAAGGAAAATAAAGTAAATAAGATAATAGCATTATCATCATCATCATTATTATTATTATTATTATTAAATAATAATAAATAATTATTAGACAAAGTTTAGGATTGTCAGAATTATGAAGTACTTATTTTGTATATTATTATTATTTTGTTTATTAAATAATTATTAGACAGAGTTTAATTCATGTGAATACAATAATTTTTTTCACATTTTGGAGTGAAAATTTTTTTTGCCATCATTTTACTTTAATATATATAGAGATAGAGATTATTATTGGTAAGTAATTATTATTATTAAATAATTATTAGACAAAGTCTAATTTAGGATTCTTAGAATTATGGAGTACTTATTTTGTTTATAATAATAATTATTATTATCATTATTTTGTTTATTAAATAATTATTAAACAAAGTTTAATTCTTGTGGGTGGAAGTACATATGTTAGTCTCTACTCAAAGCTGACTCATCATATCACCTTATTCTTCTCCTAAAAGATTGAATCCCCAATCCCGAGGGCTCCCCACATCCCTACCCGACGGAGCATTTGGGAGGATGTAAATCACGGTGACTCAATGAATTGAATATGACACGATTAAACCACAAATTATTGTGTGAACCATGGTCCACATAGTTGTGTAGACCATAAATATAACATACATTTTTAATATATTAAAAGTACATTATTTGTGCACTGAATGTAAATTATTTTATATAGTGAAAAAGGTCAAATAGGCCCCTAAACATTTCGCTAAAGATCAATTAACCCCACAAACTTTTGAAAAGGTCAATTGAACACATGAAGACACAATTTTGAATCACTTGGCTCCATTAACCGATAACTCCACAATAATAGCAGGTAATTGACATGTGGCGCCACGTAAACTTTATTTTATGTTTTTTGGATTGCCACATCAGCATAAATTAACAAAATAAAATTAAACAAAAAAAATTAAGGGTCAAATAAACGCAGCTCATTAACTTGCATAACCAATCACCATGCCACCCCGACTCCCTTGAACTCCTGAAGCAGAAGTAAAGATAACAAAACGCTTCAGAAACCATAGTAAAATCCTAATCTAACAAGAATATAATGAACAAATTGCTCCGCAAACCCAGAACAGTATAAGTGTATAACCTCACAGGCAAGCAAAATAAGGAAAATTCCCAAACGCACAGGAGGAAATCGAACAAAAACAAGCAAAATCGAACAAGTCAGAAGGTGAAAAGCACATAAACTCACCGACCCAGATGAGAAAACTGAGGAATCCGAAGAACCCAAAAGGAGAAATCAACAATGATCGAGGGTCCACGTCACTTGGAAGCTCCAAATCCACAAAAAGAATGCATACGAGTAAGGAATGAAAGATGAAGAGAAGATTTCGTGAGAATTAGGGCTGTAGCCTAAGCACTGTCATATAAATCATCTTTTAATTTTTTTTTCTTATGTGGCAATCCAAAAAACATAAAATAAAGCTTACATGGCGCCATATAGTCAATTACCTGCTATTACCTGTGGAGTTACCGGTTAATGGGGCCAAGTGATTCAAAATTGTGTCTTCATATGTTCAATTGACCTTTTCAAAAGTTTGTGGGGTTAATTGACCTTTAGCGAAATGTTTATGGGTCTATTTGACCCTTTTCTCTTTTATATATTAACTACAAGTACATAATATGTTAATTGTAATATGTACATAATTTACTAAATGAAGATACATAACATAACTATATCGTGTATCAGGGTCCACAATGCACTGTGGACTCTGATCCAATACACAGAATTTGACTTCATAAGGTACAGAATTCATCTTCATTATATAGTGTTTATGTGTATGTGTATTATTAACACGAATTCTGTGTATTGAACCAGGGTTCGATATAATGATTGATATATTAACTGCAAGTAAATAATCTAAATTTTGTTTCGGATCAGAGTTCATAATACAAGGTAAACCTGGTACATGGTGTAACAATTATAGGGCACTATGAAATTTGGAGATGTGTTATCTCCGTATGGGAAGTACTCCGAAGTGGTGCAGTCAAACTCCGAAGAATATGGTTTCCTTATTATTTTGGAAATCACTTTCCTTATGTTTACAACTTCTAATTAATGATCTTAGGTTTACTTTTCATATTTAAATACGGTGAAAATTAACGTAGTTCTGTTCATCTGCTCAATACTACGACAATGAATTGTTACCTTATTTCCCAATAGTATAGTAGAATGTCTAATAAAGCAGTGGTTTTCATCTTCTCCGTCGTCCCTGCCGGACGATATAATCGCGGAGATTTTGAGCTGGTTGCCGGTGGAATCATTACTAAGATTGAAGTGCATCTGCAAGACATGGCGCCACATCATTGAACGGGACGATGAGTTCATGGAGAAGCATCACCGCCGCGCCGCCACCCGCTCCTGCTATCAACATAAGCATATGCGGCGGCTTGGAACCGCCTTCTCCAGTAAGTACAACAAGACGACGCAGAAGAGAGCGGTGCTCAGGTGTATCGATACACGGAAAGGGCTAGTCCTAGAGCATGATCGCGGCACAGAGCTGGGAGAAAGGCTTCGGATAAGGAACCCGGAGACGAGGCAAGCGGTGTACCTGCCCGTCGTCGCCGCTAATTGGATGCTCGCCGGGATGTTTTTCGTCGGAAAAAGTTGCTGTAAGGTGATAAGTTTCTCGCAGGCGGGGAAGTCGGTTATGGAGGGACGATTCAGAGCGATAACAGTCGGCGTTGACGCGGCGTGGAGACCTCTGAATAATGACAATTCTCCGAACTACTCGCTCGGCACCCCCTTCCGCCGGCCGATCGAAGATATACGCTCTGAGCATCGGAAACGTTTTCCATGTGGTCACCATGGACAATGAACCCAAGAAAATTCTGTCAGTCAACGCAGAGAATGAGAGGTGTGAAAGTGAATAAATCCCAGAAACTCTCTTCTCAAATTGGGGCAATGTGAAGCCAAGAGAATGGGATTCAAAGCTATCTCTTTACAGCCAAGATGGAGATGGGGAGAATAATATCAAGATTTGGGTGCTTCAGAATCACGAGTGGGCAAAAACCCACCATTGTCGTGGATTATCCAGTTCCCTTTGTAGCAGAAGATTGGAAGTTATATACAGAGATACCTCACTCCTATTCTTGGTGGTTTTGTGGTAGGTTTCTAAATGAAAAGGAAGATGATGAGGATGATGCAATGATTGTGATTAAACCTACAATTTTGCAGCTAAAAGGAATGGAGGCAATAATGCCACAAGAAGCAATAGATGACGACAGGCCCTACTGGAAGGAAGAGGAAGACGTGCTTGCTAATCACCTCCTCCCAAATTATTTCTCTACTTTCACTACTTCTAATTCCAACTCTATGAATTGTATTCCATATTTGTAATTCAAATGGAAATAAAGTGAAATTTAAATTCCAAGTTTTGGTTTGCCGAAATAGAATTATGTTCATTTTTTCTGTTAAGTTTTTTTGTACATTATGCTATAAAGGTTGTACATCAAAATATTTTGGACAAACATACCCCTACCGTTATAACTTCCGTTATCTTTTCCACTATTGTTACCATGCAAATGCACCCACCATATATTTTCTTATCTTCTTCATTAATAATAATATATAAACATTGTATATTTGAGTTATATGTTAATTATTACATAAAATATAAGTAAAAAATTATTTACATTATTATTATTATTATTATTATTATTATTATTATTATTATTATTATTATTATTATTATTAAGAATAATTTAAATATCTAAAATCTAAATAAATTTTAAAATATTAATATAATGTATTAATATTAAGCACCTATTTTTTGCGCATCGCGCATAAAAAAAATACAGTATTTGGTATAAATGAGAATGAAAGGGAATCAATAGTATAAATTCAATCGTTATACCATACACCACGGTGCGCATCCCAAAACGACGTCGTTTTGGGAGGCGCGGTAGGAAGTTGCTGTGATTATGAATATTTATTCACACAATTATGTATATTTGTTCATACAATTATGTATATTTGTTCATACAGTTATGTACATTTTTATACAATTATGTACATTCTTTTTATACAATTATGTACATCCGAATCAGAAAATTTGTGTGTATTATGTTAAGAGTTGATGTGTATTATGTTAAAAGTTTATGTTTATTATGTATTATGTTAGATTATGTGTATTATCTTTTAAAAAGAGTATGTATATTTTGTTATATAATTATGTACATTCATGTATACAATTTTGTGTATTCTAGTATAACATTATGTACATTTTTGAACATGGGGTTTTTTTTTAAAATAAAAATTAACTGCCATACACTGGGGTGAGAAATTTCAAAAAAAAAAAAAAAAAAAAAATTAAAACGACGTTGTTTTGCATCTGGGCGCACAGTGCAACGCGCGCCGTGGTGTAAGATATAAATTGCCGTATAAATTCCAAAATTATAGTAAGGAGAAAACACTTTCAATAAATGAACCAATTGCACATATTGTATTTTAATATTTCGGGACTTTAGAATCTGCAACTGTCCCTTTATAACAGTAGCGGATTAACTTTAATTTTTTGTACTCGTATTTTTGTATTTTTTTTTCCCTTTTTTCCCTCCTATTCCATTTCCTCTTTTCTAGTCACACTTGTAAAAATTCATCAAAAACTACAACTATATGCTCTTAGGATGGTGAAGCATTATAAATTGGTAGCTTAACTGAAGAAGAAGAATACCTACACTACACACACAACCCAATACACCGCCATGGCTGTATCTGCAAAACTGTACCTAACCGTGTTTGCCATCCTCTTCGTCGCCGGAGCAACCGCGCCGTACGGTGCGGAGGTGAAGGTCATGTGCCAAACTGTGAACTCCGACCTGAGCCCATGTGTTCTCTATTTGATCACTGACAACGTCGACAAAGGGCCGTCGTCCGTTTGCTGCAACGGCCTGAAATTGCTGCTCAGCGCGGCCTCGACCCAGCTAGATCGCCAGATCCTGTGCCGCCTCGACCCAGCTAGATCGCCAGATCCTGTGCGTCTGTTTGACGTCCCTTACCTCCTCCGTCAACGACGAGCAACTCGCCCGCGTCGCTAGCATTCCCGGCCGGTGTGGTGCCACCATTTCGTTCACCATCAGTCATGATGTGGTTTGTTCTACTGTCCCGTGATTATTTCACTGAATTGCACACCCTCAGGTAGTGACGATACAAATTTTTTATATTAATACTCAAAGACACATTTTCATCATGATGTTGTTGACTTGAAATAATTTGTCAAAATTCTAAGCAAAAAGAGTTTACTAAATCAAGCAAGAATTAGGATCTCTATTCCTAATTAAGCAAAAAGAGTTTACTAAATCAAGCAAGAATTAGGATCTCTATTCCTAATTTAATTAGGAATAGCGATTCTACTCATATCCAACTTATGACTCTTAGCCCTATAAATGAAGCAGCTCTACAACACAACAGACAAGCTTTCAAGATCTAACTTGTGAGGTACGAGAGTCATTGAGAAGAGATACCCAAATCCCCTAGAAAGTAGTACATTTGTTTAGGTTTCAATAGTTTCGTAGGAAAGATCATTCTATTGTGTAATCTCAGGTTTCAAACAGTGTAATTTAAATATTAAGCTTTTAGTGGATTTAGGCAAATTCTCAAATTGAGAAGTGCCTCGCAAATTAGGGTTGTTTGTCCGAACTGCGTACAGATCGTTTGTATTACAATGTCAGTTTCAACATCATTGTGTGCTGCGTTTTTATATATTTCAAATGTAACAATAAAAGTAGAACAAAAATAAGATATGTCTTGATAACATGTCACTTCACTAGGTTTCGAGGTACAAGGCATTTAAATATCCTCAATCTTATGGAGTTACATAGTATTTTATCCAATCTCTCAAGGGTTCTTTACACTTGAGTTTTCTTTGCTGTTATACCTTCGATCTGGTTAAATTAATTGATAAAAAATAATCATAAGAATTTTTATTTTGTATTGACCATATGGGTTAACATATCACTTTTTTTGTTTATATCTAGTTAGTATGAGGATTAATCTAATAGATTATGAACTTAACTGTAGTTATTGATGTAAAACAATCAGCTTTAAATAGCATACAAGAGAGAGAAGATAGTGGGTAGTTAGCAGGTTGTTGTAACAACCAGTCTAACAATACTACATCAGATTCTTAACCCACAAAACTTCTGCACAGCATTCGCCAAGGCTCGATATTCGGCTTCTGTAGACGAGCGCGAAACTGATTTTTGACGAGTGGATTTCCAAGAGACGAGATTGGTCCCAAGATACAATAAATAAGCGGTAGTGGACCGCCCACTGGCAATGCAGCCACCCCAATCAGCATCCATATACACACTTAGTGAGAGAGGCTGCCCGGCACGGAGGTACAACCCATGGTACACCATACCCTTCAAGTAGCGTAACAACCGTTTCGCAGCTTGCCAGTGCACCTTCGTAAGCATATGCATGAACTGTGAGAGCCGGTTAACTGCATAGGACACATCAGGTTTAGTGATGACCAGGTACTGCAACAAGCCAAGAAGATGCCGATACTGAGTTACATCTACCGTAGCAATACCGGATTGCGCAGGGAGTAACTTGTCTGATGTTGCAAGTGGTGTTGAAACAGCTTCTGCACCATCCATCTCAACCGGACCAGTATGTCTGTGATATATTGACTCTAAGACAGGAACATGCCAGTGAGTGTTGAAACAACCTCAACACCTAGAAAGTGATGCAAGGGACCAAGGTCCTTAAGGGCAATGCGAGCTGCCAGAGTTTCAACAAATTGATCAAGCCATGCAACATTGTTTCCTGTTAGTATAATATCATCGACATACACCAGGAAATAAACAATAATATCATTAGCAGAATAAACAAACAAAGACGCATCTGCCTGTGACTTCAAAAACCCACAACGCAACAAGAACTGGGAAAGTTCCAAGTATCAAGTCCTGGGAGCCTGTTTAAGACCATATAAGGCTTTGGTCAGTTTGCATACATGAGCTGGAAAGGACGGATCAACAAACCCGGGAAGCTGCTCCATAAAAACCTCCTCATGCAATGTTCCATTAAGGAACACATTATTGATATCTAGCTGGCGCAGACCCCAGCTATTACTCAAAGCAATGGTCAGAATGATACGGACTGTGACTGGTTTCATAACCGGGCTATATGTCTCAAAATAATCCCGGCCAGCGGTCTGCAAGAATCCCTTAGTGACAAGTCGCGCTTTAAAACGATCAACCGACCCATCCGATTTGCGCTTAACACGGAAGACCCATTTGCAGCCAATCGGAACAGCCGCTCCGCGAGGAACCAGTTGCCACGTTGCAGCGCTTCAAACTCCTCATCCATTGCTTTCCTCCACCGAGCATCTTTAAGAGTCTGGGCGACGGTAGAAGGTTCTAAAGCAAGAAGCAAGGGATGGGAAGTAGTGTGGTTAATGACATAATCGGAATACCTAGGATTAGGACGACGCTCCCGAGTGGAATGGCGAACATTATTCAACGGTTGAGACGATTCGGATGTGGAGGCAGGTTGTGAGTCAGACACGGATTGGGATGCATGTTGGTCATTTTCTGAGACAGTGGGAGACGATGAATTGGACGCAGCCGACGACAATGGTTTTGGAACTGGTGTTGGAACTGGAGTTGGAACCGGAGTTGGAATTGGACTTGGAATGGGAGTTGGAACTGGAGTTGGAACTGGACTTTGAACTGGAGTTGGAGCTGGTGTTGGAACTAGTGTTAGAACACCCACAGGTTGAGCCTGTAGATGACTTCTGCAAATCGTTATAAGGAAACACATAGGGCACAAATCTAACATTCCTAGCTACATAAATATGATTCGAACCAAAATCTAGACATTTATAACCGGATTGGGTGTTCGAGTAGCCAAGGAAAATACATGGACGTGAATTTGGTTGTAGTTTCTTGGTGTTATAGGGACGCAACCAGGGAAAACACAGGCAACCAAAGGGTTGTAACTTGGCATAATTAGGCAATTGTTGGAACAAGACATAAAATGGGGATTGATTACCTCAAATTGGAGTAGGGAGCTGGTTAATAAGATATACGGCTATCTGAAAGGCGTAGGTCCAGTATGAGGATGGCAAAGATGCGGAGTGAAGAAGAGACATGCCAGTTTCCACGACATGCCTGTGGCGTCGCTCTGTGACACCATTGTGCTCAGGAGTGTGTGGCGGGGTGGTGAAATGAGAGATACCGTGAGTATTAAAAAACGGCCCAAGTCTCATGAACTCGCCCCCATTATTTGAGTAAACAGAAATAATTGACAGGCTAAAATATTTTTCCACTAGCTGTTTGAACTGAATGAATATTGTAAACACATCCGATTTACGTTTCATGGGGTACAGCCAAATGTATTTTGAGAAGTGGTCTACAAAAATGACATAATAGCGAAATTCATCAATAGAGTTCTCAGTAAGTCCCCACACATCAGTATAAACAAGTTGCAAAGGTTTAGTGCTAACAAGTGTATTTTTAGAAAAAGGCAGTTTATGACTTTTATGAACATTGCAGGAGGAACAGTAAAATTTTCGCAGAGATGACATGGAGACTGGAACATTACATTGTTGCAACACAAGTTGCAACACCTTATTCGACGGGTGGCCAAGTTGTTGGTGCCATTGAGACAAACAAGCCAACTGCGTAGCATGAACTGTTGGGTGAGATGCAACTGGTCCAAAATAGACACCATTAATGTTCACTCCCCGTAGCAGCGGAATCCCCGTTTGGTTCCTTGACCATAAAATGAGAATCAAAGAATTCAACAGACACACGATTAGTCTTGCATAACTGGGAAATAGAAACTAAATTAGTGTGTAACTGTGGGACACGCAAGACATTATCTAGAGTGAGAATATTAGATGGAGTGGGAATGACAGATTGGCCAATATGGGATATTTGTAAGGAATTACCGTCACCCAGGCGTATTTCATCCGATCCACTATACTCGGCGAAAGTCTGCAGAGGAGCGAGACTTGGTGTCACATGGTGCGACGCCCCACTATCAAACATCCAGGGAGGAGAAGCCCTAGTCATTGAATTGGCTGTAGGAGATACATAGGATTGCACAGGAGGAACATCATGCTCCTTTAAAAATCGGGCTAGCTTGCGACACACCCTTGTTTCATGACCCGTAAGATAACAAAACTTACAGACGATACCTGAGCGATTGTGTTCCCCTTGTTGTCGATTGGAGCCATAATGATTGTTATTGTTGCGGGCCCTCCGGTTGGTGTTGGACTGGTGGTTGCGCCGCGGAGGTGACGAGGTGCGTTGAGTAACACTAGTAGTAAAAAAGGACTGACGCAAAGCATCTGCGTCTGTCAATTAGCGTTCATGGTCAGTCAGCACATCTGCCAACTCGCCAAAAGAAAGAGGCTTCTCACGAACGCGGATGGCCGATGTGATGGAACTGTAATCCTCGCCTAGCTGAGTCAATACATAGACTATTAGATCTTCGTCAGGTACGGGACACTGAGCCAACGCTAAATCATCAGCTATGGCTCGCATGTCATTGAGATAAGTGGTGATGGACCGAGACCCTCGCGGATTCCTCGTGAGTTTGGCCTTGAGGGATATGATACGTCCTCGTGAGGCACTGGCGTAACTAGCAACAAGACGTTGCCACGCATCATGGGCTGTCATAGCCGAGGAGATAAGGGGTTGTATGGTGTCAGTACAGCTCCCAAGTAGAGCACTGAAAATAACTTGGTATTGACGATACCAAGCTAAATGAGCCGGGTTGATAGAAGTTTGAGCAGGATCAGTGAATTTGGCTGGTTCCTTGGTTGTACCATCAACATAGCCAAAGAGATTAAACCCAACAAGTGCGGCATGAATTTGACGCCGACACAATGGGAAATTCACGGTTGTGAGTTTAATTGGGAAGTGTGTTGGGGCATTTAATTGGATTATTGTGGTTGTAGAAGCGGAAGCCATTTGGAAGGGGAAGGAGAAAAAAAAACTTCGTAGGAGAAATTTGGCTCTTGATACCATAATAGATTATGAACTTAACTATAATTATTGATGTAAAACAATCAGCTTTAAATAGCATACAAGGGAGAGAAGATAGTAGGTAGTTAGCAGGTTGTTACAACAAATATAATGTGGAACTAACGACTATGCAAATATAATGTGGAAATAAAGTGGAATTTAAATTCTGGTCTTTGGTTTGCAAGAATAGAATTAGTGTGAATTTCAATATTTGGTATACATGGAATTGAAAGGGAATCAATAGTATAAGAGTTCAATTCCATTTTTTGTCCTAGATTTATAGATGAGAGTTCACTTTTAGTGCTTTTTAATAAAAACATCCACATTTGGTCATAGTATTATTGTGACATAACCATTTTTTGTCCTCTATCAACGAAACAGTGTAAATGTCGTTAAATACAAAGTCATTTAACTCAATAGTATAAATTCCAAAATGCCCATATCTATTATTGTTGTTGTTGTTGTTGTTGTTGTTGTTGTTGTTGTTGTTGTTGTTGTTATTATTATTATTATTATTATTATTATTATTATTATTATTATTATTAAATGGCAAGTATCTTTGCATATTCAAACACAAAAAAAAAAAAAAAAACATATTCAAATATCACTCATCTACACTCTACGGTATCTCTTGAACTGGACATATGGTAATTAATTTTCATGCAATCGATATGGAGATGTTAGTTATCTCAATTTTTTTTTTCCTTCCTAAAAATCAAAGAATTGAAATACCAAGGGGGCATGGATTCTAATTCCATGAAAATGAGGGAATTGTAATTTCGTGGAACTGCATTTTCCTCCAAACAAATGAAGGAATTTACTTGCCTTCGTAATTAGGTAAGAATTAAGTGAGAATGAAATTATAATTTCCTCCAACCAAACGCCCCGCAAAAGGAGTGTTTACAAATAAGAGAGGCAATCAAGATTTTCTTGTACTTTTAAAACGATAGATTTTTAATATAACATATAAATTAAGTATTAGCCAAAGACTTTATAGTTAAGTGGTATAATTGTGCTTTTTTCAAATGGAAGGTCATAGGTTCAAACAAATACTACACTGAAACAGAGTAAAAAAAAATGTTTTTGACCTTATATCAAAAATTGTTATAAAATTTTAATAAATGTCATTGACTTTTTATTTTTAAGATCACTAAAATTCTAATCTAATCTCATCAATTAAATCATTACAAATAGAAGGGTGAGATTTAAAGAGATTTGCAATGCAATTAAGGTAGTAATTTATTCAAGAAGTAATTGCAATATTCTTGTTATTTTTGGTTACAAATAAATTGGAATGTATTTCATCTAAATAGTCATATATTAATGGTAATATAAATTAGAAATATTGGGGAGAGCTGTACTACAGCAACCGTGAGCAGAAACCCAGTGGTCTAGAAATTTTTTGCGGCAGCGTTGATGGCGAATACGGAATCAGGTATATGCAACGGAATTAGTCTTGTGATTGATAATGGTATTAGGTGTATCCACTTGTTGTCGTTAGGGGGTGCGTTATGTGGGTTGGGCCTGTGCATTTGTTTAAGATTGTTTAATGAGTGCATTCTTATGGCGGTTTGTTGAATTCGTATTACATAATATAGGTACCGCGTGCGTTGTTCATAGCT